AGTTTCTTTGCTTTTAGACTGGTCAGTTTCCTCCAGAGATCATAAGGAAGGGAACAGGCCACATATAATCTCCCAGTGGTGTGGTTCCCCTACCTTATCATGCATGGTAACAGACCCAGTGGTCTCCCCAAGGTGGACTATCAAATTCCTCGCTGAACACGTGTTGTATTCCTTTGGTCTTATCCTCCCAGCAGTTTCCCCCCTTAGGTCTCGTAAGCTGGAGTTAAAAGTCGGTGCTTCTTTTGAGCTTTAGAGAGAGACAGAGAGGAAATGAGGAACAGCGGGGGAGCCTTAAATAGATATGACACCAAATGACAGGACACAGGGAGGGAGGGAGGGAAAATCTGCTGCGTATGGTCATCTCAAGTTTAAAGAGGTGTGTCTGTGTGTGTGTGTGTGTGTGTGTCTGTGTGTGTTTGTGTGTGTGTTGGAGCACCAGCTGCACAGGTTAGACATTACACACACTCAGTGTCTAACACAGACCGTCACACTTGACAGTTAAACATATGTTTGCTGCAGCCAGAGGAAAAAACCATTAATGTTTTTCTGCAGTTAATTACAGCTCTAATAAAAATGCTGCACTGTGGCTGCTAGATGCCAGAGTCCTTATGTTGTGGCAGGTGCAGCGATAGGATTTTATTAAACTACATTAACTTTACACTTCTCATCTTACCAAGGCTGTAGCCAAGGTTTCAGATACACTGAGGTTATATGTCCAGTCATGTGGATATTTCATATAATGTATATATCAAATATGTAATTGTCACTGATTAGTCTTCTTGATTCAGGTTGATTTTCTTACTAAAGTCTCTCTGAATATTGTTCTCTTACAGTCCAGACACCAGAGTCCAGATGAGAGAGGATCTGAGTTGATCGAAATGTTGATACACTCATCTCAGTCAGTTACAGTGTGCTGAAAACAATGAGCTCATCAAGCAGCAATGAGTGGTGCGGGCAGTGCTTTGAACAATTTCTTTAACCCCACATGACAAAGAGCTGCTCGCCCTTATTGGTAGAGGTTGTCGAGGTGTATGCAGCCTTAAAAAAAAAAAAAAAAATTAATATTACAGTTCATATTTACATAGATGGAACATCAGTCATAGATAAGCCACCAGAAAACATGTGCCTTTTGTGGTAAAAACTGAACCACACCATTATCAGAAACCATCAGGTATTTACATAAGAAACTACAAATTAATCTAAGTAGAGTTAGATCATCAAGTATATAAATATTCATATATAAGAATATATACATATAACCTATATTTGGCTGTTAATTGTTTTGTATAACTGCTGTTTCAAATTCACCTCCAGAAGAACTGAATGTGGTGAATGGATGTAAAGTGTCAAGAACAACGTGAACCATTTGGTATCACCTGGTTTTCGGCATTAGTCGTTCTTAAAATATGATCTGATCTTTATCTAAGTTACAAGTATGGACAAACACAATGTGCTTAAGCTAATAACACACAAACAATTTTAGTTTTTTGTCTTTATTGAACGCAGCCATTAACCATTCACAGTGCTGGTGGAAAAAATATTTGTCTTTTTTATTAATCAAAGTAGCTCCAACCCACATCTACAATCTGCTTCATTTTTCCCCTTTAGTTAATGTCATTAGCTGAGAGGTTCACATACTTTTTCCAGCCTACACTGTGAATGTTTGAATGAGTGTTTTCAATACAAACACACATTTATAGATAAATGCAGAGAATTCTCAAGGGTTCACTTACTTTTTCTTGCCACTGTAACTGGAACTGGATATCGGACTCGTAGATGGCGATCAGTCACTTGAATGAAAATTGCTTGGTGATGTTGTGTCCACCTCTATTAATATATCTATGGCTGAATATCAAAACTCTAATACCAACTGAAATGTGTGTGTAGTAGTGCTGAATGGTTTCAAATATAGGAAAGGAAAAAAAAGGCTAATTTTTTAAAGCAACTCAAAACTTCATTGTGACATTTAACTACTACCTAAATGTAAATACCACTGGATAGTTTTTTAATATTTTTGCTTTGAAATTAAAATAAATTGTCCTAATAATTTATGTTTATGTCACATGACACAAGAAAAAGAGGTTCAGATAAGCAACTGGAAATTTTGAATTTGTGAAACCAATAAAGTTTTTAACCAAGCAAAACTTTAATTGCCTTTTGCAAATTTCAAACAAGGGGATTGACCCACAAAAACGTTTTGAAGTGAAATACAATATTTTAGGTGTAATAAATAATAAATACTAAATATAAAATTTATAATTATTACAACATTAATAGTCTTCAGTAATTGTTATACTTTGCAATCAGGTATACAGTTGCTCATGGAATTTTAAGTATTACAGCCTTTTCTGGTATTTTCTTATTTAAATCAGTTTTGTTTTCAGTTGAAAAGTTTGATTTATATTTATATTTATATTTATATTCCCTAGTTATTTATCTAGTTTTTGTTGGTCAAATTTAAGTATATTAAGTATATGTAAACAGAATTGAATCAAGCTATGAAAACCTTCCCAGTCTGGACAGAGTGAACTTGTAATTATCAATACCTGGAAAAGTGTCTTCATTTCTTATCAACATGAACATCTATATTTAAAGATTAAATTGTGAGACTTGGTAGGGGTCAGAGGCTCACACATACACATAATAGCCTGACTAATATCAGACTTTCACACTCTTGACATGCACTGAAGGCCCTCGTGATCCAGCAGCTGCTTCCCAATCTGTGTGGGATGCATTTCAGATGTGTTACATACTGGAGACGCCGAGACACTTTCTCGTCCTCGTACAACCCGTGTGTTCCTTCGACATGTCTGGGGCCTGAGAAACACGCACACACAAACTCGTACACAACAGCTATTCCCTGTCAGCATGCGGCTCAGGGTGTAACTGGAGACACCAGCAAAGCTGGGAATGTCAACACTCGACGGTCTTTAACCGTGCTCCGGTGCACATCATGATTTAAAAGTTAATCAGCTTTATACAGGAATGAACACAAGACCCGAGGACAGTTTGGGGTCTTAGGTTGGGAGATTAGTGTGTTTGTAGTGAGTTTAAAAAGGTCTGGTGACAACACTGACTTCACGGATAATAAGCCTCGATAATTAGCAGAACCAAAAAAAAACAAAAAAAACAAGCCAAATGGAGCTTGATGTTAGGGAGTGAATACCTGACAAAGTGTCAAGTTTGTGCGTTTGCCATTTGTATTAACAAGAGCAAGGGGATGAAATTACTCTGCCAGACAGACGGCTTCTCTTTAATTAGATGTGTTTATCTACACGATATAGCAGTCCTTCCTCACATCACCATACAGCCACATCAATCACATGTTGCCAAAATCTTGTCTAAGAAAAGATCTTTATTTATAAAAACAAGTATTACCAGTTACATACTGAAAAAAGCAACTTCTCAGAGCCAAGGCAGGTATGAATGGTACATCATTTTACATGGATAGGCAACAGTACAAATATACTATGTGTGTGGGGAGTTTAAAAAACAAAACAAAGATGGTTGGTCTCTTTTGCCTTTAAAACAAGTCAGCGGTAAAACTGGGACTTAAAAAGTAGAACACATTGCATAATGCTCTCACCCACTGCTCCCTCACGTACAAACTCTGAAATACAAACCAGACAGAAAAAAAGTACAAAAAAAAAAAGGAACTTAGACTAAAATGTGCTTTTGTCTACCTCTTAAATTAAACATCAATATCTCCCCAACCTGTCTGTTTAAACTCAAGTCTCCTGAGTGAAGAAGCCTCCTAAATCGAATCAAATGAATGCAGATGTGCATGCATGAATAGCAAATAAAGAGCAAGTAGTGATTTTTTTGTTTACAGGTTTGTTAAGAAATCAGACTCAGAGAAGAACAGTAGTCCTAAGTGTTTGAAGTGTTTCTTACTGTATCTATAGTGTTAACGTTTAGTATTAGAGCAAGGAATGGTTTCTGAAGCAGGATGTCAATATGTTTTAGAGGTTTAGTGGTGCATGTTCCTAGCTTCACATTTCAGGAACTGGTTTGATGCGTTGCACTGGTCCAAGTCAAAACACAGCAGCTGAAAATGTCTTTTTTTTCACAGGGAGAGTAAAAGTTGAAGGAAAAAGTAGTAAATTAAGGTATCAAACACAAAAAGAGGCAGTTGGTACATAAAAACTAAGAAAATAAAAAAAAATGCTTTGTCACAGGAATAGGAGCACATGATAAAAACAGACAACATGAACAGATGAAATAATCAACATGTGGTCTTATGGGTCTGGTCCGTGCACACACACAAAAACACACTCATTCAAAAAGGTCCATGTTCATTTTTTCCCCCACACAGACACACACACGGCCACAGGTTTACTGTATGACAAATATACACACACACCTGCCTTTTCTTGTCTACACCTGTGCTCATCCCAACCAAGAGAAAATAACTCTAGACAGGAAAATAACTCCTATATAAACATTCTCAATCTACAGGGCGACCGCCGGTCTGCCGGCGCGTCCCAACCTCCCAACGATCCCAGTAAAGGGACAATTTAAATTAATGAGCCAAAACTAATGCAGTCATCCCATTTTCTTTTTATATACAGTATATATACCCTACATAGAAGTCTACATACAAATTCATCGTTAGGATGTGGGTGTTGGCAGCAACATGTCGACCATGACAAAACTCATCAAAAATGTTGACAGTAGCAAGAAAAAACAAAAACAAGCAGGATGACAACACCAGAATTAAATGATTGTCAACAAAGCTGATTGCCTTTACAGAAGAACTATAATTTAAAAACGGAATATACTTTTGTTGCTACACTTGAATGAATTTGTAAAAAGTAGGTATGTATGTGGACGTGTGTGTTGCACGAAAACGTTTTGCCTGCAACACAACCACTTTCTTTGGATGCCAACCCTCATCTTCTTATCCCATCTGTGTGGCGATAGAGAGAGAGAGAGAGAGAGAGAGAGAGAGAGAGAGAGAGAGATGAGAGAGAGAGAGAAGAGAAGAGAAGAGCGAGAGAGAAGAGAGAGAGAGAGAGAGAGGAGGGGGAGAGAGAGAGAGAGGAGGGGGAGGAAGAGGGCGAGGGGGAGAGAGTCTGTGCATCTGGATCTTCTCTCCTCAGTAGCAGTGGTAGGGCAGGGATGGCCCAGTCTGGGTGATGCACACTATCAGTTTTTCTGGAGGAACAAAGCAACAATACGTTGATTACAGTGAAAACAAAAGCACAAATAACTGAATTTAGTTAATTTACACACTAAACAAGGAGGCAACACAAAGACTCAGTGTGTGGTATAAGCATGGCATGTTGCACAGTAGTGCTGTCACAATAACTAGTAATTCAATAATACTTAAACACCAATATTAAATTAACCTGGATATAGTTTGAATTCAGTCTTGAATTTTATTTTTATCCTTTGGGCAAATAGTTCAGAAAGCTGCTAAATGTTATGCTACTGTAATCACATTAGTTTTTCCCTGTAACACAGTAGTAAATCACACTAAAGTTACTGGCTTAAACTGCGCTACACATGACATTTCAACAGAATTATCCTATTTATAGCCATTGAATTAAAACTCTGTGTCAGTATCTGTTAAAAATGATCTTGTGCCTTCCAGCATCAGAAAGTGTATGTGGGAGGGTAAAAGGCAAGTAAAGTACAAAATGGGGCACGACCTGTGAGAAAAGAATGCACTGATAATAAATAGAGATACTCTTATTATACTATGTAAAACTAAAAATATCAGTGTAAGAAGCAAGCTGCGCTCAGGTCAGAATCAGCTGTCGTTGGTACCAAAAACAAACCTTCAACAACCTTGAGGCAAAAAAATAATAACATTAGGGATTAATGTATCAAAGTGCAGTATAGCAGTAACACAGGGACTTATCAAGTTACTTAAGGAAGGCTGTGAACTGTCTGTTTAGCCGATCAGACAAACTGTGAACAAGCTCATATATAAGCAAAACATTGAGACATGACATCTTGTTATTTTTAGAAAATTACCAAATAATCAATAATGGATTATTATTTCAGAGTAACACTGCTCAATGATTAATCAATCATTCTTACAAATTGATTTTTCTGTTTAATCCTTATGCTGTCATTATCAAAAGATATGAAGTGACTCAATAGAAGGTGGCAATTAGTAACTAGTTCCCAAACATAACAAAAAGATCTAATACAATAAATCTGTATGTGTGACGCCACACGTGTTGTTGTAATACCCTGCAGAGCCACAGGAGAGCGCTCTGAAACACAAAGCATGGACTGGTGGCCAAAGATAACAAAAGATAGAGCTGCCACTGAGTACTTGGAGACAAATAACTGACAACATGGAAATAGTATCAAACACTGCTCTACATTCCTGAGGCGAGTGTAAATCCACTCTGGCAGTTGCCACTATCGATACACAAAACTATTTTGAGATGATGACGATCACATCAAATGTCACGTCAAAACCACACGTTCGCAAAAGTTACAAAGCTGTTAAAGGAAAGTTTGGTAACACAAGTAAAACTTTCTTTGATGCTGCATTGCTTTTGTTCTCTGACCTTGTTTTATAATAGTTATAATATTTTTTTATATTAAAATGAGCATTGGTATAACGTTCTGGTATTGTGACAACACAACTGCACACACAACATTTATCATTCGGAGGATTTAACTCTTATAGTCAGCCTGAGAGTCTCTACACTGACGGACTGCATGGACCACAATGCACAAGGAGCACCTTGCAGCATACTATACCAGCATGTACACATCACATCAGGGTATCATATAGTTAACTATCAGTACGATAGACCTCAACCAGTGTTTCAGTACACCATCATAGACAGAGACCAGGTTCCACTGAGGGTTTGATGTTATAAGAGACAAAGGAAAAGAAGAGTCCATGCAGGACGAGAGGTCAGTTGGACATACCATGCTGTTACATGCAGAGGGGGGTAGAGGGGAGGGGGGAGGGCTAACCATCGTAGGAGTCCAACAGAGGCAGGGAGCCCTTTCTGCCCCCATACACCCCTCGCTGAGAGACAACCAGAGAAAGAGAGAGAGAGGAAGTGAGTGTGAGAAAAGAAAATTGTCAGTAATTGTGAGGTTTCAAAGGCTGCCAACGAAAAAGGTTCAAGTCAGGAAAAAAAATTCATAGTGGTGTAGGAGATTAGGGGTTAGTGTCGTTAAATGAGCAGCATGTGAATGTGCGTAAGCATGACTTTACATACCGGTAAAGTGTCTGTGGTCTCATCCAGAGTGTGTCTCCTCTCCCTCTGGTCCAGTGTAGAGTAGGCGTCTAAAATGTCATGACAAAAATTTACCGATGTTGTCTTGAAAAAACATGTTTTTCATAAGTTCATCGTGATCCAAAGCAGTGATGATAAATGTACTAACCAGGGCCAAGGTCATTTAGTGGAATCAAGTCCCTCTTTTCTCCTAAAATGAAGAAAAACATCACAAGTCAGACAAAACAAAAACACAAACTTTACACACATTTTTACCTTCTATAACTTTTAACCATACATTATTTCTCTGACACTGACCTCTGTCCAGCAGTGGTGTGGTGCTGTCTTCATAGGTGCCGTTGGCTCGGGTGCTCGGGCCATTGGTGGTGCTGGTGTTGGGGTTGAGGTTGACCATGAAGTCTGTCTTCTTCCAGCCATCCTTCTCAAGAGGCCGACGGAGTTCCTTATGGGCCCAGACCAGCTGCAGCACCTGGCCCGCCCCCCGCACCTCACGATCTGAACGTTTGCTGTGGGACACAGGGAGACACGATCAGGCTTAGAAAAGAGGATGTTCTCAGGATGTACCCGGAGTGTGGGGTATTGAACCTGTACTTGCTTACACTTACCCGTCCTTGTTAATAAGCACCAGCCTCTCAATGCCCTGCGAAGCTCGGAGGGTCTTTGCTGCCTCCAGACTGTTGCCTAGCACCTCAGTGAGCGTGCTCAGTACAGACACTACTGTCTCCTCTGATAGATTGCGTCCAGACTGGCTCTGGCCTCCGGGCAGGTTGGCCACCAGGTGAGGCACTGCATGCAACCCTACAGTGGAGACGCAATATAATTTAGCTTTCGAAAAAGTTGCACACATATAACGAAGAACAACATATATTGTAGATAGCAAAATAAAGTTCACTATTATGAAGTATAATTACAAGTTTAAGTCATATTCTTGAGAATTTTCTACAAGCCAACAGCCTTACCAAGCAGTTCGCAGTTGCGGTTGTCGATGGCGAGGTTCCTCAAGGCTCCAGACATTGCTCTAACCACACGGTCATTGCCATGGGCCAGTAGTTCTGCCATCATGGGAAGACCTTTCTCCAGACGCACGGTGGCCCGGATATATCGACCATACTGACAAAGAACAAAGGAGGGAGTAATGAAGGTCATTTTACACCAACAGCAGGGTTATTCCAATAACTTCATAACACAATAATATAATAATAATAATTTATCATTGACAAAAATACATGTTTTTGTTTAGAAATGGTACTAACAGTCCATCGGCCAGCACACAGGTTCTGGATGGCACCAGCAGCAGCCTCCAGCACCGAGGGGTTCTTGCTCTCTCTGAGCAGTGATGTGTAAACACGGACCACCTCTGGTTGGAACAACAGCTCATAACCTGAAGTGTATAAAAGAGAGGGGTGTTAGTAATGACTGGAGTTTGAAGAAGTTAAGCATTTGTGCTGAACACAGGTAAAACCTAAACCAAAAATTACTTCCACCAGCTGATGAGCCGGGTACTGTTAAAAGTTTCAGACTCAATGTGAACCCTCTTAAGTGCTGTTCAGAACTGACATTAACATGCACATCTGGTGATCCGATCACAAGTGGACAGCTCTAAACACAGGTGTGACACATTTGAGATATGATCACTCAGACCACAGTCCGAGGTGGCCTGGGCCACATGTGGCCACATTGTTTTAGTAGTGTGAACACAAATATGTCCTGGGCCCCGCTGAAGGACCGCTCAGCTGACATCGTCTGCCACAGTCAATTATTCTCAGTGTTTCCTCTACATTGATTTATTTGCGGCGGTCCACCACAATATCAACATTGATTTTATTTATTTATTTTTCTTACTATTTCAAATCTCTAAAAGTTTAATTTTAGAGCTGTGTGTAATGCACTGATTTGCTCATTCCCCTTCTCACCCTGTGCTCCTTCTCTCTCTCTCTCTCTCTCTCAAACACAAATAACAACATGTCATAGTGAGACTGGCTAAAAACAACAACCAATTTGGTCTTTCCAAATAGAAATGTACAGGAGTGTCCAAAAGTCTGAGACCACTTTCCCATTTGACAATATGTTTATTTGAATATAGAACAAACAGTGATCACATGTGGTCACTCAAGACGCATGTGGAGACGTGTTCTAATGCCAGGTGTGAACTGACGTACTTAGAGCTGTCCACTTGTGATCGGATCACCTGAGACGCATGTTAATGCCACGTCTGAGCGGGGCCTTAATCTGTGAGACTGAAGAAGACTTGACCAGTAATTGCCTAATCATTATACTTTCCATGTAGTGTGATGCAGAAATTATCATAAAACATATAAACAAAAAAAATTATTATTGATGAAATTATGTCCAATTAATAGGAACCTACATAATAATATTCTGAATTCGAAATAAAAGGACAAACTATTGGAATAAAAGATTTTCCCTAAACTTGAACTATAAATATACAGTGAAAAACATACTCCATGACTAGAGTTTGTCATGTCACAGGAAACATGTTAATGTTTAGCAGTCAAAATGAAACCCTGAGAGGTTTGTCCTACTTGTCATATAAATGAGCTACTCTACAGACTGATGAATTCATTATTTTAAGTGAAGAGAGAAACATACCTTTAGCAGGGGTTGTCCTCTTTGGAATATCAACCTGATCTCCACTTCCATCATCTCCATCCTTCTTTCCTGCAGCGAGGAAACAAATAAAAAAAGATAGAACATGATAGTTTGAGCTGAAGAAATGATACAGGTTATGTGAGGGTGGTTGAGATGAGCATCCAGTTATCCTCAGTCCTCTACTTTGGTACATTATGTAAAAACGTGACCATGCAACCAGTGGAACAAGCACTTTGAGCATGCAGTGTGACATCAAGTGATCATGCCCATGTACTGCATGTGAGGTCAACATCATTGTACATTCTTATTTCTCTAGTGGACGATTATTGTGTGTTAGTAAAGTGAGTGATGACAGAGAGGTCAATCGTTGCAAAAGAGCTGACAAGAACACCAAGAGGAGAATCTTACCTTTGGAAAACCACTCATCTAAACACAGCAGAGAGAGAGAGAGCGGAGCGAGTGAAGAAGGGTGGGAAGAAAGAAGGGGGAAAGATAAGAGGCAGGAAGGAGGAGAGAGAGGAGGAAAAGGAGGGAAACAGTGGTAGAGTGTGAAAAACAGCGACAGGTGCGTCTGCCACCAACAAGCTCAAACCCACCAGCAGCTATCCATCTTTCAACAGCAAATCTCTCAGACAGAGTAACCCGAAGCTGTAACAGCTGTCTGACACTGACCTTTGCCCTTTCGAGAGCCAAAGCAGCCACCTTTGGTAGCAGGGGCCGGTGCCTGGTTGAGGGGTGTGGTCTCTGCATAACGTTCACAGCCGGGAATTTCACGGTGAACATGATAGGACAGATTCCTCAGGAGGCAGACACAGTTCTCCACCAACTACGGGAAGAAGGGATCACGAGGAGACAAGACGATCAAACATGGAGATGCACAGAAAACGGTGCTTTTGTCATGAGTAAAAAGCACCAAAGATAAAAAATCTCTCTTTTTAAGTGTAAAAATTTGTAACTGTCTTAAGTGAATAGGTACCTTATTATCAACATCTTTACGATTGATCTGTGATTGGACAATGTACATGAGTGAATCCACCAATCCTGTGCATTCTCTCAGCTTTCGCCTGGCCTCGCTGCGTTCTGAACTCACATTCCTGTTGGACAGAGGGAGAAGTTAAGCACATAATTGCATGTTTTCTTCTCAAAATAAGTCTCTTTTTCTCCTTTTGCTGACATTCTTTTCTTTGCATTCATTGATCCCTTTGCATACCTAAGGCAGCCAGCAGTGTTGGTCAAGGCGGTCTCCCACTCCAGATGTCGTGGTTTGCAGCTCTCCTCTCCACCGTTGCTCCCTCGCTCCCAGCCCGAGTGGGGAACTATTACCTCGTCGGCCAGGGCGTGCAGGGCGTGGTCCACAATCTCCATCTTTACTGAGTCGTGGGATGAGAGGTTCCACAAGGTGCCTGGGACAATATAATAAATACTGTTACTATCACTGCAATAAAAGACAGTTTGGCCATTGAAATAATGAAATGAATGAATTGTGCCACTGCTCTCCAAAAGTTAAGATTTGATCTTTGGTTTCTCCCTCATCCATCTGTTTTGTAAACTTGAGTTTCAAGGAATCAAGTAAGGCCTTCAGACAATTTAATGCAACACTTTTGATTCAAAAATCAATCTTGCTTATATCTTGTATGTAAAAACAGTAGATGCGCCGATGCTTTTTTGTTTTTGGAACCAGGACCAGTGTAAAATAAGTTATATTTGCTTTTAGTGTGTTTGTTCTGTGTCATATTTCAATTTTATGCATAAAGTCACATCATAACATGTCATTAATTTTATTTCCTTATAACTTTTGTCTCATCCATGCCAGATTGATTTTTTTTTTTTTTTTTGACAAGCGTGTTATGTCTAGACTGTGTGAGATCAAAAAGGTACATACAAAAAATTATATGATCATTGATACCTGTGATAGTGTCAGTGAGGTCCTGGTCATGGGTTTTCCTCAGTAACCTGACCAGAGCAGGCACTCCGTCGCAGTTCTTGATGGCGATCTTGTTGTCCGGATCTCGCCCATATGAAATGTTCTTTAGTGCTCCGCAGGCCGAGTGGTGCACCTCCTTGCTGGGGTGGTCCAGCATCGACACCAAGGATGGGATACCCTTCAGGCGACGCACTTCTGACTTAATCTAGACACATACAAGCAAAATTAGTAAACTCACATCAAGGATTTACCAAAAGGCCACCATACAAAAAGTGTATGTTAAAAACTGTTAGTCTGCAGCTGAATGTGACTTTTGTTTCACCTTGTCATTTTTGAATGTGAGATGCTGGAGGAAGGCAGCAGCGTTGGTCTTGACAGGGTCCAGACGGTAGTTCAACATGGCGATGACCTCTGGCAGCTCAGGCTGTCTCCATGAGGTGGGAGGAGCCTTCCTTAGTGTGCTGTCCAGTGAAGCCATGCTCCCCCTTTCCAACGTCATAGGAACACCCCAGGCATAATGGTCAACTCCTCCCATGTCACCATCCAAAGTGTCCTCACAGCTCCTGTATGTCGACCAAGAATGTCACAGATTAAATGCAGTGCATGTGTATTACATATTCTTTGTATGGTACATTGGCAATGCAATGTCTTTGTGTTTTACCTGAGTCTTCGTCTGTCCATACCACCAGGGCCGGCCCCCAGACGTGGCATGGTACCGTAGCCCCCAGGGTGCATGGGTGGAGGCCCCATGCCGTAGTCATCATACCCCACACTGCGCTGGTCATCCTCCAGACCATAGTGGCCGTGGCCGTAACGCATCTCCATCGCTGAGCCCATGGCCCTCATTCCCCGGCTCACCTGGGGCTGTGCTGCATAGGGGTCAAGCTGCTGACGGCTTGGGGCTCGGTAGCCAGAATCCAGAGTCCTGTAGCCATCAACTGGCCTGTGGAGAGAAGAGAAAGGGAGAAGTAATTAGAGTTGTTAAAGTGAAACCCCATTTGGGTGATCCCCATTTCATACTGACCGTGATGTGGGATAAATTTCTAAGTGAAGTCAAGATAAACGTCTCAACGGCTGTAATCTGCATTCACAACCATGAATCCGACCAGGGTTGGGAGAAAGTCTGACACTTCTTGATGTTGGTGTGAAGGGGGAACATGTACTTCTATGGGAATTATAGGTTACTATAACTGTTACTATAAATTCTGTAACTATAAAGAACATGTACCTTCGTCCATTACATTTCCATAAACTCAGACTATAAAGGAAGGAAATCACAGTTAAACCACTTTGGCCACAATACCTCTTGAATGTTTTGAGCAAATATTGTTGTCACCACCAAGAACTGAAAACAAAAACAAAATGCTTGACAAATATATAGTGCTTACTTTAAGGTTGGTGATTTGGTTTGAATGGTTAAAATATCAACAAAACGTGCATGTATGATCCAAACACGGAGCCTGTGTAAAGCTGCAATAAATGTAACAGATTCATGTGCATTTACATGCAACGATAAAAACAAAAAACTAAACTAATTGTGACTTATTTGAATGCACTGTCCTTACAGATGACACATTCCTGGATATATAATCAAATTATTGGATTAATATGCCACCATAAAAGATTCATAGCACTCATCTAAGTAGGGGTTTTATACCTGTAACGATCATCCATGTGAGAGCCCCTGCTCAGACTAGTGTATGCTTCTGATGGCGGGCCACCCCGGTAGTCATCATAACCCCCTACAGGGCCGTAGTGGTAGTTTCTGGGTACTGTGGCAGTTGGGTAGTCGCCTGCTCCAGCCTGTCTGTAAGGACGGTCCAGTGTGGCGCTGTAGCCACCCATACCGGACACCGTCAAGCCCCCGTCAATGGACATCGAGTCAGAGGGCAGGACTGTGCGCGAGATTGGTTTCTTCATCTGTGGGAGAGTCGTGTCTGGCCGTCGTGTGGTTCCCTCTTCGGAAAAGACTGAGTGTACTTCCTGGGAGTCATCCTCTGGGGTGTAGCTCTCATCTAGAGCGCCGTGTGCAGGGTCCACCATCCTGTACTGTAGCAGAGACACAATACACATTTTAAAAATCACGGCATAAATATCAATTACTGCATAAATATAAGAAAAATAACACACAAACACATACCTGTGTGCCGTTTATGTATGAATCAGTCAGTTTCAGTCGTTCTATGTCTGCATCCCCTAAACGCCCGTTCTGGGATGAAAGAGAGAAACAATTGTCAAGTACAGTGTAAAAATACCATGATGCCACCAACAGTTTTACTCATTGCAGTGACACTGAAGACCCGACTCCAAGTAACCAGTGCGGTCAGCTTTCTCACAACCACCCAGATGATATTACTGCTGCTGAAGCACATTCAGTGCTGACCAAGTCGTCCCTGCATGTTCATGGTCTGTGAATCACTGCCAGACTTGGAGGACGACATTTTGGAGTGTATCCATTCATCCTCACACCCTACTTCCTCCTGCTGTAATCTGTTACATAATATATGACTGTCACTCTGTATAACTTGGACACTTTCTATATAACCCTGAGTAATACTTTCATGCAATATAACTGCCTCAGTTATGAGCAATAGCCTCAAGCTGAATCACATGTGAACACAAGATAATCAGACTGGGATACTATTGACTCCTACAAAACAATGTTATGGGCTTTATCAAACACTGAATCCCACTTCACTTGCAGGAGTATGTCACACTGCACTTTATATTACGCCCACAAGGAGGCAGGCTGTTATCAAAAAGAAATGGGAAGTGAAGATTGTGTTTTTACAAGCAGGGCACAGTTCCTCCACAGCTGCTCCATCCTATAATACCACCTCATTTACAAGCAGCTCCGTCATGCATTTGGAGCAGTGCTGGCAAAGCATGCATATCTTCACCACCGTTAATATTTTTAGAAGTAAAACCATGAACACTTAGGACAAGGCCAAAAACAGCCTTCATCCTCCAGCTGCTACGCACTAATCACAGCAGTCCCTTCCAAGGATCCAACAAGACAAAACACCAGATCTAATCTGTGTCAGCAAGCCCTTAAAGGAAGGAAAATATTTAGAAGTAGATTTTAAACTATTCTACTCAGTCAATGTGCAACACCAAGAGCTGAAAGAAATGTGCTTAAATGTCAACCCCTGAATACTACACTTCCTGACTATTTGTGTTACCTGGGAGCCTAATGATAATGGCTCTGCTTTCATCGTTCTTCTAAGCCCACAGGCATCTAAGTGAAGTTTCCCCACTCTGTGATAGTCAAATCTATTAGCAGAGACAACAATACAGGACAAGAAGGAAACGGCAGGACTACGTCCAACCAAATAATTTGGCAGTGAATTGGTTCATCCAGCATATTAAATACCTTAAAGATCAAGGTACTTCATCGCACTGATGCAAATATTGTCACGCTCATTGATTTGCAACATGACTCACTGTGGTCAAACACAACAAAGAGATATTAAAGTGACAGCTATCATGGTATTCATTCACTAGAGCTGAAAAAATCTATTTGTCTATTGGCAGAAAAATCAGCAACTAATCATATCAATGTATTTCTTATGCAAAAATACCAAAAAAATGGGTACTGACTGCTCAAATATAAATATTCACTGGTTTTCTTGGTATTCTATCACTGAATGTCTTGGGTTTCAGACTGTTGGTGCGACAAAATAAGCAATTTGAAGACGTCTGTTTGGGCTCTGGGCATAGCTCAAAACGATTAATCAAGAAAATGACAGACAGGTTAACGCGATCATAAAAATTAGTGAGGTAAAGCCCTAAACAGTTTGTGTTTGATCGCTGATATTAGACAAGTGTTCTTTTTATTTCCAATGATACAAATAAAAAGACAAAATCATTTATTATGATAAAAAAAAACAAACAACTAAATGCAGAACTATATCACACATGCACAACAGATGACTGCATACCAAAACATAACATGCTGGAACAGAGAGGAAAATAACTGAGATTCCGCAGCAGGGTCCGACGAAAGGTGTACATGTATGTGTCAGAGTGTATCCGGTGAGTGACACTGAAGACATGCTGAAAGTGTGTGATGATGACATCCTCAGGCATGTTAAAAGTAGCAGAACTATGTGCAGGCACAGACTGATATGTTTGAGGATGAGGGCGAAGAGACAGATGGTCTTACAAGATAAATAAACAATGAATGAAGACATTTAATGATGGCACGCATAAACTTAAAATTCACTGACACACACTCGCTGAGCACTGGTGGAAAGGAGGCGAGACGGCGGAAAGAATGGATGAATGATAAACGGATGGAAGTCAGAGGGAGAAAATGATGCATGACTTCACTGGAAGGATCAGATGGAGGGAATGATGATCCATGTGTTGGAGGTGAAAGATGGGGGCTGTAGACGCCTACAAAAGACTCTGGATGGGGATTTTTGTTGGGGAGCGTTACCTGTGTGTGAGGGAGGTGGTGACCCAGGGCCGAGGGGCTGGTGGCAGGGAGGCCCACTCTCCTCCTCTCCTCCTCCAGCGCCCTGGTCAGCTGTTCAAACTGCACCTCCTGCTCCCTGACAGACTCCAGCAGAGCTGCTGCGCTCTCACACTGCTCCATACACACTACACAGCCCCAAGGGGAGAGAGGGGGGGGGCGTTACACACATCCGTACAGCCTCAAACACACTACAGCACAGGAAGTCTAAGTCTAACAGAAACAGACACACCTCTCCATACAAAGTATAGCAACATCAACAGGATGCAAAATTCTTGGGCTGATGTTAAGTAAGATCTGATTTGTCTGCTGACAGATTTTGTTTGGTGACTCAGGCTGAGATGCCTTTTTGGAAACCCATCAGCAATGCTGGGATTGCACAACAGCAGATCTCTACTTTTGGCCAAAGTAATGAACATACAGCAGTGACCTCTGTAAGCACATGTTTGTGATGTAAAATCAGACATCAAAACTTCCCCCATTACACTGTGTTTTTGTGTACGTCTTCATTCATGAGAAGGCCTGTCGTGGTGTAATGATTCTTTCATTCAATTTTTTTCCCCACATAGACTTAAAAGTGACTGTTCTGCTCAAATGTTTTAGAAGTATCTGATCATGTCAGCACTGATGAGATTTATATCACACGTGTGTGAAATCCATTACTGCCAACAGTAAGTACAGGGCAAAATCATTCTAAGATGGTGCTCACTGAATAGAAAACGTAACAGAATGACAAACTACCCAATTTGTACCATTAAAAAACTATAATTCTCATGACACAATGCTGTAAATTTGTCAGGTCTGACAAACTGAGTACAGGACAAACACTGCAGAAAGAGGACAGCCATGATGGAGGGGAGACTCTGAGTCTTTAAAATCCTGGTTATTGCAATGAACATAAATATTGCAACATATTGATCATGATAATGTGGAGATGGTTACTGCAATATTCTCCACATAAAGATCAATAAACATATTACCACTCAACGCATGCATGGGGGAGTCCACTGGGCTTTTGACCCCTTCAGATGCTAGACCAGAAAATATTTTCTTCAATACAAACAGCAGACAAAGAGATTTTTTGATAAATCATCAGCATTTTCTTCATCTTTTAGAAGAATATGGGGTGTCTCATCTGCCTATACGCGTTTTTTTTTTAATGGATGTGCAATTTTGGCCAAGATGATCAAGAATCAATATATGGTTCACAAAATCACAGTGAAAATATTTAGGGTTGATTTTCCATATTTGTATATCATGAACTGAAAATAAAACCACTAACTTTAAATCCCAAGCTTGGTGTAGGCTTAAATTAAATCATCACAGCATTTTTTGGACTATTTTATCCATGCATCAACAGAATAATTCATGGTGATAGAGCATCTATACAAAAACGCTGTCAAAGAGGATGAGCCCTTTTTCACACAAAGAGAAGCGCTTTTTGGAGGATGCTTTACATCACAACACAAGACATTTAATATAAGGGGGAACTGCATACTTCTCTGTACAGTTTAAGCACAAAGCAGAACGCACACACAAGCAGAGACACACTCTCAAAGCTCAATCTCAGAGAAAATCAGGAATACACACCTTCACCTGTGGGCGTGGTTTGGTAGAAGAGGTGAGAGATCACGCCAAGGTCAGAGGTCGAGCTCTAGCTGCTCATGTGTAGAAGGTCACTGAACCACCAAGCCCAGAAACGAGGAGAAATGGACTGCAGAGAGAGAAAGACAAAGGGGTGAAGGGAAGAGAATAATAAGGTCAGAGCCAGAGAAATGCCTTAGGGAAGGCTAAAGGCACCTCTGTTTGAAAAACAGCAACATAGTGAGAATACCGTACAAGTGTGTCAACAAGGTTGTGTTTGCTCTGTGAGCAGAAAAAAGCAGCAAAAGACAGACATACAGTAGCTCCAGCCTTTAGACACACCCTGTATTTACTCAACATTTGGCCTGCATATGGCAGCGAGCTGCGGTACGTTGACCAACCTGCAGCTCTTTCTGGGCCAAAGAACATCGACTGTCAGCAGAAAGAGACAGATCGTTTCAGAGATAGTAACATCCTTCAAGAATACGTTCATATATTCTCTTATCAACTCATCTTTCCCTTCCCCAGCTTAACCTTGCCTTTTTTTCTTCTTCTTCCAGCCTTCCCTCTCTAATCAGTCTACCTCTGGCCCAACTCTTTCAGTCAACTACTCTTATTCTTTCAACTTAATTGCCTTTTATCCCTCCCCCTACAGATCTTTGTTATCTCGGCTGTGCTCTGAGAGAAAGACATTGTTATATCAGAGCCAAACAAGTGGAGACTCCACTTATCTCCTGATACACCCTCTGCTACAGCAGCACGGCTCCCTTTAGCCCTGGCTAGGAAGCTGAATAAACCCAGGCATTGCCACACATACACCTGCATGACCGGTTGGACAAGGCAGAGGAGGGGCAACCAAATTTCAGTTCCTCAATGTCTCTGTCTAGCCAACATGTACAGACACTCTGAGAGTCGAAAGTTTGGACAACAAACGGAGTCCCGCATTTACACTTTGCACCAGGTGTTTGTGCGCACGACAAGTAGTGTTAACAAGTGCAAACAAAGTGACAAGCAAAGGTGTAATGAGTTCAAAAGGAGAGATGGTAACAAACGACTCCGTTTCACCTGCATCAGATTGTGCAAAAATAAAGTCAGACGTGATGAAATCACCATGCGATACACTATTACGACACCCTTAAGCTGGTAAAATGAAGCCTGCAGTTCCTGGATGTCTGTCAAATGAATGAGTAACACACACACACGTATGTGACTTTGCTTATTTAAAAAAATCCCTGCTTGGGGTGTGCCCAGTGTGGGAAAAAAGGGAGGAAAGTAGGATGGCCTGATGAGAAAATAAGGAGTGGCTGAAGTGAATTTCACAAGACAAAGGAATGTGTAAGAACCAAAACCAGGATTTGCATGCGGGATGAAACTGACAGGAAGACATGATGTCACACACACACACTATCTGGTGTTTGGTGACTGTGACGCCCCAGAGCCATAACCTCCCACCTGAGCAAATCACAAACTGCTGTCCTGTACCACACATGCCTATATATGGTCATAGCCAGGACAGGGCTGCTTTTATCCACCACAGACAGAGAGAGAGAAGGGCAGAGAGCTGCAAACAAATAAAAAAAGCTGAAGACTGGCAGTGAAAAAGACAGAAGGGGAGTGAGAGAAGGCAGAACTGAAAGAGGGGGGTAGAGATAAGAAAAGGAGTGATGAATAAAAGATAAAAGCTAATCTTGCATTCCTAGCATTGTCTCCTGCCAATTGAGCACAGCAGCCCACCCACTCATCCACTGTGAAACGACCTTAGTGGGACGCTGGCTAATAATCATCCAGAGGTGTGTCGTAGCGGTCAGAAGAACCCAAACACAGAGAAACACAAACTATCATAATTTCCTCTTCATGTCATCTCAGGCGCAGCATATAAACATTGTTAACATGCTACACGCTATCACATTTCACTAATGAATGCAGCTGTCATTCATATACAAGATTAATTATACACTACGATTAATATTTCTTGGCAGGTTTACCTAGGAATGTGATTCTGTGTCTGTGTGTGTGTGTGTGTGTGTGTCTGTGTGTGTGTGTGTGTGTGTGTGTGTGTGTGTGTGTGTGTGTGTGTGTGTGTGTGTGTGTGTGTGTTTTAACCACAGCCAGAGGAGGGAATTTGCAGCTGTCTGTCCGGGAGGTTGTTAGAACAATGAGAAGTTTGTGCAACTGAGAACATGAACACAAGTGTGAAAAGAGTTGGAGAGTGAGGAGGACCTCACTGGACACATTTGAATGTAAGTGCATCTGTGTGTGTGTGTGTGTGTATGTGTTTGTGGTTGAGTTCATGTCGCTCTTAACACACTCAGTCTGTCCTCCCTCTATCATAGCTGTTAGTTTCAGCCTTGAAAGTGAGCAGTGAGTTTCGTTGAACAATGAAAACAATCAGCGTCGCACCACAGCCACCCCCCTCCCCTTTTCCCCTCTTACCTGCTTCCTGAGAAACAGGATGTTATGGATTCAACATCAGAGATGAGTAAAAGGGACACGGCGGCTACATTGGCTCACCAAAAATCCTTTCTCTCAACAGAACTGCTTGTACACAAAACCATGCGAGGATATAGGATACACACTTTAATAACCACCCTGATGGTTGCTTCCTCCATTAACAGTATTTTTGTGGTGAAAATCCCCCATGGTCGATATGCTGATCATACGACCACAAACCACTTCCCACTTTGCGAATCTGTTGTTTTCTGTTCTGCTATCAAGACCTTTCGGAACTAAGCTCAATGAAACTGCAAGGCTGAATTGTCACATTTAATTTAATATTTTATGACAAGTTACTAAATTTTGGTTTGTTTATTTAGAAATGGTTCCCATAGTCTAACCACTAAATCCTCATATACTTCTATTTTTTTTGAGGAGCTGAAACGATTAGTTGATTGACAGGTCAAATCCATAGACAATGATTTTGATAACAAATTCATTGTTTTTATATATATACACACACACACACACACACACACACACACACACACACACACACACACACACACACAGCATGCACTACACTACATGGACAATGAATGTCCAAATACTCTTGTATAAGTCACTATCATCAGAAAAGCACAATGTTTTTTAAAACCTTGGGTGAGTGAGTGGGTGAGGAAAGAAGAGCACACGGAGAAAGGGTCATGCCCTACTGTAACAAACGGTCAAAATGTCAAGCACAGGGCCGTGATGTCAACAACCCCTCAAACATCTGATCGAGCCCTGACACACCACGAGTCACATATCTGCATCTGCTTCTGGAGCCCATCAGTCGCACATCAGTCAGCATTACTCACTTGACCCCGTCAGAAGACATCTGCAATCATACACAAGCAACCAACAATACAGCCTTTGTCGACTTAATGAAACTCTGGTTAATTCAATAAGCACCTACACCTGCCACCAGTGGCAAAAACTCCCCCTGAAACAACCTATTCACTGTCAAAATGCACATCTGTTCACACATCTCGAGGTAACTGACACTGCAATTTGCTTTTAAGTCAGTGTGATGCCACAGGCTGTGGTTTAAGCTGAGCGTGGCTTGTAATGAGATTGAAGCTTTAACCCAATAATCCACTTACCCCCTAACACATACACACATCATGTTGACGTGCACGCAAATACGTACACACACTCACACACATTAGACCTTTTGTGGATTAACCTGCACACCTAAAGACAGCAGACACAATTGCAGTTGGTGTTGGGAGCATGCATCAACAGTCAAACAATGACTTGGAGAGAAATAGTCAGGAAAGGCTGATATGTGGGTGATCGTGGTCACATATGGTGTTATTAGTGGTGGCACCTGCACCACCGGCCCCATGATACCAATACACATACTGTATCACCATAAACCACAATAGCACTAAAGCCCACAAGAAAGGCACTAATATACACTGCAATGTGTGCCCGCATGAAACCAGTGTTTACAAGAGAGAAGCTAGTTTACTTGTTCACACTCAGGCTGACAGTTATCCCCACCCAGGCATTTATTTTCCTACCTAAGCAAGTTCGCACAGGACCCACCCAACAGGTTCACAGTCTGACAAACTCAAAATCCCAGGCTGTGTGACTACACACACTACAACGGCAGGACCACCACCCTTAAAACAGACTCAAATACACAAAACAGGCTCAGGCTACAGTATACAAACATGTCTAATTTAACAAGTAGTGGAGGTTTCCAGTTACCTTAAACTAAACTCTTGTCTCTAAGGTGATGAACTCTACAGATAAAACCGTCTGCTTCTGTCAGAAAGACGCTTAAAAACGAGACAACGGCAACCGTATCTAGGTCAAACAACAGTAAATGTATATGAATAGGGAACCAAACTCGATCCACTTCAGTGTTGTAAACCCGCCTGACCGTCACGTTGTCGTGCCCCCTGTTGATCTCCAAACCCTCTCCTCAATAGCAGACCTTGCCCTGAACCATCTAGAACCAGAAGCACTTACAGAGCACCCCCCTGATCTAAGAAACAAAATCCCACATGCAATCCTGAATTGATTTGCCAACGTAATACATCAATCTGGGGCAGGAGCAACGAGCAGACAGCAGTAGCTTAACACAGAGGCAAACACGTTGGTATAAAATGACTCTCACGAACAAAGACTCACGCATTTGAGCATTGGGTTACTCGGTGGTTTTGCAAACGCAGTTCAGTTCAGTTCAGATAAATGACAATGTTGGAGATCAAATCAGCCCAGTTGGCCACAATGCACGCTCGGCACCCGTGTGACCTGGTTTGGCTGTCTTGCTACGTTAGCATCACAATAACCCACATAGCCGACAAGCAGGCTAGCGTTAGCATAGCAAACACAGGTTAATCGCAAGAGCTGGAGTTGGCTTGTGTTCAGCTAAGCGGCCTTTTAAGCTAATTTAGACGGCATTGTGAGTTTTAGCTTTTGGTATCAGGGACCGGTTTGAATCAGTTATCACAGACAGGCAACGGAACCGCCGCGTCTGACGGTGTGAACTTTAAGTTAGCATCTAAAGCTAACGTTAGCCTCGGAGAGTCGTGTTTCTGATATGTCGATGCGACCACTCCTTGCCAACGCTGCAGTGCACCCACTATCTGTGTGTGAAAAAAAACAACAACGCGGGCCCCACCATATCAACCATCTGGAAATATTTATATATTTCACTCACCTGCTCGTGGAAAGCCTGCCCCAACGCCTTCCAGACAACTCCGTTTTTCGGTGTGTTTTCTCCCCTCTTTTCCCCTCCTTCTCCGGGTTCTGGGTCAAGCTCGTTAAAGACGAAGCGACATCACCGAGTTTTCTATCAAAGAGAGGGCGGGGTCAACCAGTGGCTTTACCGTAAACACTGCGCGCACACAAATTCTCCTCTCATACAGGTGTTTGTTTGTCACAACTTGCGAGACAGGTCCACTCATTCTGTAGTCAGAAAGCTGAATAATGCCCTTCCCGTCGGTCTAAAACTATGATTAACCTCACATGGGGCCCACTTTATACATGGCTGTTTGAATATTTCTGAAGACACCCAGAAACCAAGTAATACTCTAAACCAGAAATCATTAGTTGGTTAATTCATTAGTCAGTTAATTGGCTGAAAAAATCCACTGGCATCAGCTTCATAAATTTAAATATTTTCTGTTTTTTCTCAGTTTTCTATGATGTTAAACTTAGCATGTTTGGGCTTTTTCTTTTCTTACAATTTAAAAACTAAACAATCCAGCAGATGTATTGAAAAGTAATTGATGGTTGCAGCCTCACAGTAATTCAGTGATGGATTAATACTAGCTTGCCTTAACTTTTCTGTGTGTTAATTACTTGACATGCAGAAAAATTGAAGCAATTTGATAAAACACATATAAAATAGAATATAAAACAATATAAACTTAAACAATTATGGTATTAAAACTACATTTTGACAGAGCCCCCTTACAAGACAAGGCTAGTTGTTATGGTTGATAATGTACTTCTGTCTGATATGAGCGAGTGTATGATTATAAAAGGGGAGTAGGGGATTTAAATTCTCTTGCAGTAGTGTAATAAATCGACTACCTCCCATTGCCTCCTCTCTCCTCCCATTTTCCATCTGTCGCTCCCTCTCCCTCACATATACACCCACTAATGTTATCTCATTGATTGCCCAAGAACAATAGCCTGAGAGGAAGAAGTATTTCTTGGGGAAGTACAACAACAGCATTCCACACCAACACGACAAAACTACTGACACATGAAACCACTACCAGTGACCATCACATAAAGTAATAGATGAATCATGTCTGACCATGTCTGTGAAAACTATTTTGGGATCACTGCACAACTGTGATTCTAAATAAGCACTGAAGTGTCAAACTTCATGTTTTATCTGATTTATTTATTTATTTTTACAGCTTTTAGAGTAATTCATACTACATACTTTAAGTCCTGTTCCATAGGTTCAATGTATTTCTGCCTTTACAGATACTGGGGTGAAATCAAAGCCAAACAAGTGGAAACATGACAAACAATACTTTAGTGTGGGCAGGATGGAAAGAGGAACAATGCAAGGAATTTCCCCCAGTTTCCTTAAGAGTCCCCCCTCCTCAACCTACCCCAACAGACAGCACTACAGTATGAATAAACGCTTGTCACAATATTTACTGGGAACAAAAACAATGCTGCACTCTAGAGGTGCAAAATGAAACTTGTCAGACACTGAAAACGGTTTAAAAAAATCAATATTTATTCAGAATTGCATATCCAGACTACAAATCCACACAAAGAATCCACACTAAAATGATTATTGCCCAGTCTAAAACTATCTGACAGTATAAAAAGAGGGAAAAGAGAGTTTCAACAGAGTCAACAGTGGAGGTAGTTTGTTTTGAAATGAAACCTACACACAAAAATGGAGGAGGAAAAATGGCCATCTCCTTTTCACAGGTATGGAGATCACTATCAGACAAGCCACACATTTTAAATTCCCAGTTAGTCATAATGTTCTGACTGAAGTGAGGGGTATAGTCAGTGTATCTGAGAGTGAAGAGATTTAACTGCTTGTAGCTTTGCAAACTTTTTAAAACTGTTTAAAACACTTCAGCACTTTACATTAGCACTTGTTTAACATTTTCTATTGTAAAAGTGGTTTGGTGATGTGACAGTACATATGGTAATATAATTATAATTCATCCACCGTATCAGAACTGGATTCTTCCTTATATTGCCAGTCCCTCAAACATCTGTATAAGGCCAGTGAGGCCAAAACAATGAGCACAACTGCTTTATGCTGAAATTGGACCGACATGACTGTTGTATCAATGCGATAACTTCACGTGGACATCTTCATTTGTAAGACATTTAATGAACTGAATTAGCCCAACACTAATTCCTGCTTGGTTATTTGTTAAATCAACAGTTTCTCAACTCCCTTTCTTGAGTTTCCAAAAAATGTACTGTATCACAATATATATCAATATCACAATATAAAACTAATTACAGAGATAGAAAAGTGTGTTTCCTTTTTACTTCAATGCCACTGTCCATGTTAGCCAGCATCTATACATATACTTGCAACAGCTTTAATGCTGAAATGTAATGAGTTGGTAAAGTCATGATAGAAAAACTACTCAATTAGCATTAAAATATTGTCATCTTAAATGATGGACATGAGCTGATATGATGCATCAAAGTTTGTCTAATTTTCAAACCGTATATAAATTCACTCTGCCAGTCCTCTGAGCAGGAAGGGAAATAAAGAAGGCATTTTATTTTTTGAAGGTTGTTTTCCTATTGCTGGTTTTCCTAGATTTAAAAAGAACGGAACAGAGGTCATGCATGTTTGTGTCCTTATTTTGAACCACAACAGTCCAATGATTTTAGTGGGAAGTTGTCAAGATATACACTCATGTAGTTGAAGGTTATTAAGTACACCTGACAAACACCTTTCCCCAAAATATACATTGTGGCACAAGTGTCAGTAGAAATAACATTCTAAAAAACTGTAAAACTCATGTTAAAACCCTTTAAATCTCTTGATCAGTCATGGTCAGAGCACCCCGTTACTGCTGTGTGTGATCATGTGTCTGCGCAGGTTGCTGGGGTTGTTAAAGCTGGAGTTGCACTGATTGCAGGTGTACGGCTTCTCTCCGGAGTGAGTCCTAAGGTGGATCTTCAGGCTGCCGTTCTGCGTGAAGCGCTTTCCACACTGAGGACAAGCGTACGGCTTCTCGCCTGTGTGAATGCGCATGTGGATGCTCAGCGTGGTCTTGTTGACGAATGACTTGCCGCACAAGGAGCATGGAACGGGCGACTCTCCAGTGTGCGTCGCCCGGTGAACAATCAGGTCTTCTCGGCTGAGGAAGCGCTCGCCACAGAAGCTGCAATCCAGAGATTTGTTGACAGTGTGAGGGAAGACGTTCTGCTGCTGGGCGAACTGGCTGATATGACTGGAGTGCCCCACTTGACCATCAGCTATTGCTTTTATTGCAGAATTCAATGTGGTTGAAGCCATTTGAGTGGAGTGATTTCTTTCCAGCTGACTGTTCACCAGTGTGACACTGTTGTCCTGCATCACTCTCATTGGTGCTCTGTCATTAGCACCCGTGGTGAAATTAAGGAGACTGTCATGGGCGACGCTGTGGTCTGGAGACAGAGAGCTAAAGGCCTGAAGTTCAGAAGCAGTGAAGAGAGTGTCGCTCTCCTCCTGCAGAGGCCCTTCTCCTCGGCCGTGAACACTCACGATTCTCAGCCCCTCATTATCACCTGTCAGGCAGGAGGAACCAGCAGGCTCTAAATTCTGAGTCCCTGTGGCAACATCTCCCTGCGTACTGTGGCTCCCAAAGTCATCCTGACCTGAAAAGAACAAACAACAAATGACATTTGTGAATCAGGGCTGGTATCTAAAAAAGACATCGCAGAGGTATTTCTAAGAATAGTCTCAAACTAGTCCTCAGTTGTGTCAAAAATGACATACTTTGTAGACAGAATCTAAGAGTGCAAGCAAGTAGCTTTCAGCAACGTCTGAGTTTAATTATCTAGTGCTGAATGAAATGTTGTAAAAAGACAGAGTACTGTTATGTCCACCCCCCACCCCTACAAAAGTAATGAATCAGCCAGTGCTGTACTTAATGCGTCATGGCTGAGTTGTACAATTCATCATGGTTTAATACACACTGTGTTGTAATAAATCACCCTGAAAGGCAGTTCAGTGCCTTCCAACATGAAATATGCCTCAATATACCGAAGCATACAAGAAGACAGCGTGTATAATAAGATATTTACCTAAAGAAAATCATAATTCTGCAACACCAGATGTGACGTTTGGGATATTAATCATGTATGATAAGGACTTAATTTAAATGTTAAGTGATGATCTGTCTTGTCAAAGTGACCAAAGACCAAAGACAAAGACATTTGCACATAAGCAGATAAAATATACATAAACAGAGCGTAGCAAAACCAGTTTTCATAATAATACAGACATGCATAATATAATGAAATTGCAAAGTGCGAATAAAGGTGAAATTGCTTTTAAAGTGCTTGTTCCTGCACGCAGCCATGTACCTGCTGTGTGTTTGTTAGCAGATTAAATAAATATTAAATTGTTTCTGGACTTCTTGCTCAGCCTCCGCAGTTGACAGTGCCTTTTCCATCTGGTAAACCTCTGGCCTCTGATTTCTCTCTCTGCTTCATGTTGACATCTAATTTACCTCCTTCACTTAGCTCCAGAATAAATACAATCTCCCAGCAAAACATCACTTCAGATACCTCCAAGTCAGACATTTTCTATCCTGTACTCCCAACTTCTCTCTTTAACCCCCACCCATTGTAATAGATGATATTCTTAATTGAGCCAAGATGTCAAAAGGTGTGAGATCAAAGTTTTATGGCAGTCTCTCTAAGGTCCTGGTTCCATCAGTGACACAATTTCAAGGCACCTGGGGTGTGAAGAGTTAGACGACAGGATATTTCCTTATTCTTTTAGTGCCAGACACCATTTGATGCTGTTCTAACCCGTTCTAAACCCGGGTGCACTGTCTCTGGTCTAAGTCCAAAATAAGCCACTTCCTAACCAGAGTCGCCCCCATCTGCACTAGATGCAAATTTGAACCAGCCTCCTTATACCATCAATTCTGGGCCTGTCCCCAAGTGGCAAGATTTTGGGACAGGATATTAAAATGTCTTTGGGATATATATGGCATCACTATTTAACTTTCTCCTCGCACCGCTTTGCTGGGTGTTTTTGCCAATTGACTCACTCCTCACCGGCACCCAGAGATGGGCCCTGGCTACACTCTTTGCTAGAGGGGTTATTCTTCTGAAGTTGAAGTCATCTGCCACTCCACTATTTACACATTGGGGTAAATGTAACTTTCTTACTAATACCTGGGACACTTACAAAAGTTATATTGGGAGGATACCATTTTTAAAAGAAAAGATTATAAAAGAGGAGACAGAAGAAGGGTTTAAATCCCTATAAAGAGGAGACAGCCCCCCCCCCCCCCTATAATCTATAGATGATATATATATATATCTCCTCAGTTGCTGCTGGAAACAGGTACTTGAGTAATTGACTGACCTGAAATGTCCCTATGTAGATCTGCTTACATTTGGAAAAATAATAAAAAAAAGAGTTTGTTTTGTTTGACCTCAAAATTAAAATATTTCCTTTAAATCTTCTGATGCAGGATATATACTAATAATAATATTATATATATATATATATATATAGGTAATTTAAAGCTTTGAAGTTCAACTTTTCAACTACTATGTTCCCTTACTTATTATTTATGTCAACAAATCTCCTGAAATGGCTGAAAAAACAACAACAAATGAGTGCAGCAAACAACACAAAGTATTGTCTGTTTAACCACTGCCTGATATAATATGTGATGTCTGCAGTGTTTGCCAAAACCAAAAACACATGACCGAGGGATATTATTGAATCTGGTGACATATTCCTTTGCTACAAAGAACATGGCCAGTCACACCAGCCCAGATGCAGTCAAATAAAGTCAGCAGCTTTTGATCCAGTCTCAGCTGATGACTATTGGCTGATGTACTTTCATCAAAGCAAAGAATAACTCTGAGCTCCTGTGGTTCACTAACTGACAGTCAGCTATTACATTATTTAAAAAAAACAAACAAACAGCCTACTCACTAACAACTGCTCCGCATACTCCAGCGTCGTCTTCATCTTTGATCAGGATGACATCTGGACTCTCCACATCTGCGCACTAACATAGAAGAACACACATGCATGAGCAAACACATTTTTATAAACTATTATTTCCTGAAAGTACAAGTGTGTACTGTGTTTACCTGCACTTGAGTGACAGAGGAGGAAGTCTTGTTCTCTGACTGTAGAGACATAGAAACAGCATCTCCAGCAGCCTTTTGATCCACGCGTGACTTAATGACAACTACAGGAGGAAAGAAAAAGGCAGAAGTTCAGGACAACTGATGTTGACGTATCACGGATGAGAAGGAGCAGAGTCGTTGTATGGACTACCTGTCAAATCAATATGATGTGATACAGTTGTACACAAAAGTTGGGTGAAATTACATATTTTGTTGATAGTTGATGGGGAAAAGTAAGTAAATACAACCCCTATTGCAGACAGACAGTGGAATCTCAAATATTAAAGGTTTGAGCCCTTTGAGCCCTTATCAACCAACACACAACGAGCAGGCTTTGATATCTAACAAAACAGGGGTTAAGATCATTTAAGATCGGGCTCTCTGATGAAGTTTTTGATCAGCACAACTAAGATTTGTGACGTATGTGTGACGTGTAAAGGAGCAGCGGTTATTGATTAGCAGTTGACTATTAAAAAAATAACCGCGTAACTATTGTAGCTCGTTTGAATTAAAATAGAAAGCAATTAATTGGAATATTAATGTAACAAAAGTGATTCTGTCATTGTGAATTGGTTTACAGGAGGAGGGCGTTACATTGTTACTTGAGTATGAAGTATTTTTCAAAGTAAAAGTACTGGTTACCTTGTGATTTAGCCCGTGGTTTGGGTACATTTCCTCTGATGGGAGAGAAGCGGCTCGCCGGCCGGTTCGTCCTGGTCTGCAGTCGGAGGGAGAAGAGCTCGCTCCTCATCCCCTTCATCCTCGTCCTCAGGGCTTCGTTTTCCTTCAGGCTCTGGGTTAAATGCAGGCGGAGAGAAGCCGAGCTCTCCGAGAACAGCTGACTGATTTCCGCCACCGCTGCTTTCACCAGCACGTCCATGATGGACAAAAGCTGTGACTCCAGGTTCAGGCTGCCCGGCGGCATGTTTGTGGACATGTTACACTCCGCTGCCGCCGAGAATTACGGTGGAAAACAGCGCGGCACAATTGCTGGGTGAGCTTACAAAAGGAGCAACACAATGGCCTTTCCTGTAGCATGACGTCGATTACCGTAATTACTAGAAAGCAGAGGCTTTCCCTTTATCCTGGTTTACAGCTTCTGACTGTATGGTCAATGTTGATGTTTTTTTTTGAGCACATTATACACCTTTAACACTTTACATTGGCTCAGATGTCGAAAACCAATCATTAAAATAGAAAGCAATTAATTGGAATATTAATGTAACAAAAGTGATTCTGTCATTGTGAATTGGTTTACAATCAATATTATTTACACCTATTGACTCATTTTGAAATAGGAAGAGCCTAGAGTAAGCTTACGAGTATAACTTAAAACGCCCTTTTTACTCCTGTTTACTCCTGCAAAGGTGTATAAATGTTTTTAATGTTTTATTCATTATTTTTATTCATTTTGAATTGATGCTTATTGTTTGATCCAATGGTGAAGGAAGTGTCCAGGATCATGTATTTAAATGAACTATAACTTGTCTTTTACATGTAGACTTCATGAACTAAGATTCAGTACTGACTCATCTCAGAGCCTCAAAACCTCATGTATTTTACAGTGGGCCTGGGGCTGTATTTGTCAAACTGATAAAATGTAAGTGAAAGATAAAAGTAAAAATCCTTCACTTTTTCTAATCTGAAGAATAAACACAATTTATTTTGACTTTAAATGCTCTTAAATATAAGAGAGCTCCAGAGGTCTTTTAACTTACTATCTACACATCTGTCTGTGTGACAATGTGGTGCTAAATTCATCTTATTATATGATTTCTCTGATGCACCATGTCTACCAGCAGCAGAACTTATTTTCATTTCAGCCAGTTTCCAAATATATTAGAATATCCAATTATATTATTCATAGAGATTAAAAGATTTCACATAAATAAAATTAACCTTCTCAAAAAGGATAATCATACATCTTGCAGAACAACATACCACTGAAGAAACTAAGGATTTTTTTTTTAGGAATGTAAAATATGGCAGGGTCAATTTCTATCCCTAACTGGTTATTCCTTCTCTGAGCTTGCATGTGATCAGTCATGTGATCACTTTAGAGCTGCTCTTAAAAGCTACATCATAATCTCATGAATTAGATTTCTCACATCCTTTCATTGTGTTGTATGTCTCTATAAAGTGTATTATAATTTGTGTACTATAAAATGCTGCTGTCTCTGTGGTGAAAATGACAACCTGTTGCTATTGTGAACACACCAGCCATCACAATGTCACAATTCATTCGTCTTGGCTGAGCATCACATATCCCCTCAAGACAAAGATTTTATTGTTGCACAAAAAACTCTATAATTCACAAGTCCATTATTTAATCTATGATTTCATACAATCACAGAACAAACAGAATAATTCGATTTTCTGCTTTATGTGCTCAAAAACAAACAACATGGCCGTCAATAAAAAACAGTGTAATAAAACTTTCAAACATACAGCTAACTGTAAAATCAAATTGCCAGTATTTGAGTTGAGAGTCGACCTGATGTGCCTCTTTACTCTGAGAGTAGTCAGTCCAACAGCAAACTAAGACTTACTCGTTGTAGCACCGCAACCATCTACAATCTTTTTGGTCTTTTCAGTCTTTCTGTGTGCTGTCAATATTTTCTAGGACTTTGCCTCGACTAACGCTGCTCCACCTTCCTCCGTCTCGCAGCTCTTTGGTGCATCTTCCTCCTCACCAGTTCCCTCTGGCTCAGCACTTTCTCCTTTCTCTTTCTCCACCTGGCCATCCATCATCCCGTTCTCAGCAGACTCTTCTTCATGCTTCTCTGTCGATACCTCTCCTGCTGCGTCCTCTCCTTCCTCTTTCTCTTCCCCCTCATTACCAGACTTCTCTTTCTCCTCCTTTTCTTTTTCTTTCCTCTCTTTCTCTATTTTGGACAGGCTGTGGCAGAGGGACTGGACATACGTGAACACACACATGGGGTCCGGGTTGTTACCCATCATGATCATGTCAGACACTTCCAGCAGAGGGCAACAGTCAGCCAGAGACCTGGGAGGAAGAGAGGAGACAGTCAGAGGGAAGAAAACTTGAGGTGAGACAAAACAAAGTGCATTTACTCAACTACTTTACTCAAACACAGTTTTGAGGTAGGTGTATTTTACTTTACTTGTAATTCAATTTTCTGCTGCTTGATACTTCGACTTCACTATAATTCAGTGGCAAACATAATGCTTTTTAACTACATTATATTTATTTGATAACTTCAGTCACTAGTTACTTTGCAGATTCATATTGATAATACAAAGTATATTCAACAAATAAATTATGATTGAAATAAGATACGAATTTATTGATCCCTGGTGGAGAGATTTGCTGGCTACCCAGTTTATAAAGTAAGTAAAATAAGCTCCATCTTTACAAACTGCTGCATTAAAGTGATGAACACACACCAACATCAATAATTGCCTCTTGGTTCCCCACATGCTTAATACTTTATCTCATTCCTGTTCTTATTGTCTCTCTCTCAAATTAAATCGAAGGCAACTGGACTTGTATTTGTCTGTGAAAGACGTTTCGCCTCTTATCCAAGCGGCTTCATCAGTTCATCATGTATTGGTCTCTCTAGTCCGCACTAGTCTGACGACTCTTCGTCAGACTAGTGCGGAACGTCTTCCACAGACAAATACAAGTCCAGTTGCCTTCGATTTAATTTGAGAGAGAGATAACTATGACCTGGACGAATGAGAACATTCACAGACTGTTCTTATTGTCACAGTTTTTCTGTGTTTTTACAGAAACCTTTTATTGTATTATGTGTTGTGCATTTTTAATGTTGTTAATTGTTTTATTGGACATTGGACATGTGTCCAGATACACTTGGTGCAAAATGAGTTCCTTTGTGTGAGACAATAAAGTTTTGAACTGAACTGAACTGAACTGAACTGAACTGAACTGAACTGAACTGAACTGAACTGAACTGAACTGAGAGAAGAAATGAAGGAGGGAGAATGAAATACTCCATACTCTGCAGTTTGGAAGGCCAGAGTAAAGTTTTTCTCCCTCTCCTTTGGATTGAGGGAGCTGTAGTCAAAAGCATCTGGAAAGAAACGATGGATCAGAGCACAGAACGCCAGCCCATTGCACCAGGATGATGAGAAGTTTTCTATGTTGATCCCCTGAAAGATCAAGTGACAGAAACTGAATAGACAGAAAAAAAACATATCTTCATCTAAGCATCTAGTTGAATTAGTAAAATAGCAATTAGGTGAAACTGACACATTGGATGAAGAGGATGAGCTGACCTCATAGTTTCGCGTTTTGTTGCGACACCACTGAAGCATCTTCTGTTTGATTGAAGCTCCTGTGGCCGCGGCTGCAGATGACCTCTGAATTTTGAAGTTGCGTGGTATTGGTGACCTAAAGATATCATAGTATTACTTAGTTTCTGATCGAAGGGCCATTGGATCAATATTTAGTGTCACTTTCCAAAATATTTGAAGTTATGTATGATGACTTACTCTGGTGAAGCTTGTTCGAACTTGGCAATAATGTTGTTCTTGGTGGAGGCTCTGACAGAGCGTGCAGAGGGTCTTGGTCGGGAGAGAGAAGAGGAAGGAGGACCGCTCTTTCGTTTGGGCTTCCCTTGCTTTTCTGCCTCCTTTATCTTTCCTTTGTCTTTCGTCTCAACATCTGCTTCTTTAACTTGTTTTTTCTTCTCTGCCTCCTTTGCTGCTTTTCCACTCACATCTTTCTCTTCTTCATTTGCCTTTTCCCCAGTTTTACTCCTCTCTTCATCTTTGTGTTTGTCCTTTACCTCCTGTCCGTCTTTCCCAGTCTTCACATCCTCCACCTGCCCTCCTTTCTTGTCTTCCTCCACCTCTCCCTCCCCTTTTTTTTCTCCATTTACCGGTTCATGATCCTTCATATCAGTAGGTGCTTTGTCTTTATCTTGTCCAGTCTCTTCAGTGTCACCTTCAACAGGCTTTGATGCAGTCTGGAGCTTATCTGTATCTCCAGCACTGGCCTCCTCTCCTTCTCCCTGTTGTGGTTCTTTATCCTTCTCCCTCTGCTCTCCCACCTCCATTGCCCCCTGACCTTCTGCTGTCTCCCCCTCTGTGTGCTCTATCCCTGTGTCACTATCATCCTCCAGCCCTGGTGCATCTGCCTGGAGGACAAGAAACATAAATTTGTGTTTAGTTATGTACTTTATTTCACTATAATACACAGTGATAGTAACAAAGCATGTGCATTCACACCCATATAGAATATATATATATATATATATATATATATATATATGTATGTATATATATAATATATATAGATAGCATTTTTATGGTGCACATTTTCAGTACTGCTGTTTTATTTAGTGTTCATTGTTTTTTTTCTCTCTGGCTAGAATCTTTGAAAATGTTCAAAAATACTGAGGATGACATTTAATGCTGAAGGTGAATAATCTAAAATCATATGTATCAATATAAATTAAAGCACAGGCACAAGTTGAAGCCTAATGCATTCTGTAACATTATGTAAGATGCTGGCTTACTAAAACTAGTGCCTACACTTTACTCTTGGGATATCACAAACCACGTAATGTGAGACCTGAAGCTCTAGTCTGGGATCTGTTGAGTATCTCACTTATTTAGATCCAGCAGAGAGGTTGAACTTTCAGATGTCAAATGAGCTTTTTGTCGTTTTTAAACCACACACAAACTACACATTTATATAAAAAAACAGGTTAACATCATCCCAGTCAAAGCTAATCATAAACCAGAACACTTATTTAATTTTTTTTTAATTCTTAGAATCTTAGGGAAGACCTAATTTAACCTGAGGAAATCAAAATCTCATCAGTCACATACTTTTCAGTGACAGTTTTATCGATTTGTTTTAAGCTTTAATTTCAGAGCTTATTTTAAATACATTGTGACATAATACTTTATTTCAGAGTTTAATATTAATTTATTTTTTCATCCTCATTAAAATATCACTATTTAAGTATTAAACATATGTGCTTTGTTTATTGTTTATCAATGACCTGCTGCAGGAACGGTCACTCCAGGTCAGACCTTGCAGTGGTGACTCATCAGAGGGAATAGGAAGCTCCACTGTGTGCCTGTGCATGTGCATTACTTTGCATAACTGTGTGTGTGCGTGCGTGTGTGTGTGTGTGTGTGTGTGTGTGTGTGTGTGTGTGTGTGTGTATGTGTGTGTGTGTGTGTGTGTTTAATTTTTCAGCCAGGAGTTAAGAACAGGTGTAGCACAGTGAACGCATGCAGAACCTCCTCCCTTGTCCTGCCGTCCTCACTCTTAACACCTGCCATGGCCACAAATGCTCTCACTGCCTATTCCTGGTATGTAACATAACGCTAGTCATTGTGGGTTTTACAAATAGGAGAACTTTTAGTCTGTACTTTAATATTAACGTGCAAAAACACACACCTGGTTGTTGTTGTTGTTAGTGTCTGTCTGATTAGTCTCCTCTGTAGACTCAGATGTCTCCTGGCTGGGTGATTCTCCATCCATGATGTTCAGATCAACGGATCAAAGGTCAAATCACACTTTTTTGTTTTTAAACTAATAACCAGGACTCTTAAATGATCCCTCGTCTTCCCTTGAAGGTTTTCATTCAGTCTAAGGTGAATCCTCTTCACAGGAGGCCTGCTTAATGTGTCACTCTCTGCCTCTCTCTACTTTTCTTTCCTGTCCCTGTCTCCCTTTCTGCCCCTCTCTGTCTGCACTGCCTCGTGTTTGTGATGTGTGTGTTGGTTTGTGGATATCCGCCTTCGCCCCCTTTCACCCGACACCCCCACCCTCTGCTTTGTGAGGATTCCTACGCTTCTTTATCTGACCTTTTGAACAACACAGGGTCCCGAAATAGAGTCACAGTGACATAGGCGCAGTCCAGCGGGCCAGACAGCTGCGTCTGCTGTGGAAACTGTGGCTGTACACATACGGTATACATAAACACGTGGGTGCATGCATACAGTCCCTTAAACATGCTTGTGGGCAATGTGCCTCTTCCTGTTCCTTAATATTAAATGTAGATTTGGATGCAGTTATGTAGAGCTGGTGTGGTTGAATGAGTGCAGGCCAACTGATTTTAAAGGTCTTCAAGAAATAAAAGGGACTTTTTCATTAAATACTGTAGGCTTCATACTTTACACACTCCCAAACTCAGCTCAGTATTGTTATGTTAGTCTCTTATTTCATATAATACTTATTCCCAGTATTATTATAGAAAATGGAAATCAACAACTTTACCTTCATGTGATTTTTTTTTTGTTTGTCATTCCTGAGCCTTTACCTAATTAAATCTGGATTAAGAGGTTCCTCAACTAAGTTGCATTCCCACTGACAATTCATGATCTCCTTCTGTAGAGGTCTGTCGAGGCAGAATATCTTAAATGACAAATTATAGTCCTTTTCACTTTCCCTTCCACTTTAAAAGCGTTGAGATGGCATATAGATACAGAATGAAGTAGATACATGGCAAAACCAGACAAGTCCAGCTACTTCTCTCGCAGCCCCAGCTAAACACTGCGTCTACTCATTCAACACAAAACAGATGGTTTTAAAAATAAATGTCTATCTTTATTCCCACTCTGTCTGTCGTTACCCTCTCCTGCCCCCCCCACATCCTTTTCTCCTCCTCCTCTCTGTCTAAGTCTTGGGGGGCTATAATTATGTCAGCACCTTCTTGTGTATCTCTTCCACTCCCTCCTGCTCATGGCCCAATCAGTAAAGCTAAAGCCAGAGCAACTATGCATCTGTCGCACTTTGTATGTTTGTAAAATCAGAGGACCCGATGCTCTTAAAATTTGGAAAACAAATGAGATGTTTAGAGATTTACATGTAGGCTCCTATTAAAAAAATTGTAATGGATGACAAAACAATGACAGTGTGTTTTTGTTACTGTGTGTGTGTGTTTGTGTGTGTCCATGGGTGGAGTCACAGGATCACATGTTAAAGCTGCTGTGTGATTATCGCTATTTTTGCCACCGTTCAGGGATCATCTCAAATTATTGTCTTACACTGACTGAAGTCCCTCATGCTACTCATATTATGAATGTGTGTGTGTGTGTGTGTGTGTGTGTGTGTGTGTGTGTGTGTGTGTGTGTGTGTGTGTGTCCACAACAGAAACTGCCTTGAATGCCTTGCTTTATAATGGGTTGTGGTGAACCACTCTTCCTGTTGTCTCCTACTTCTTGGGGTAGAGTGGCAGCATCCTGGTATGAGTAATTTTCTTTACTGTTTAATGTAGCAAAGCATATAGAAACTTGAAAAACAAAGAGGAAGACGCAGTTATGAAGCAGTGTCAGTGTTCTTTATGAATCATTAAAATTAGCCTAAAGTAGACAGTCTTGATGTGATTGAACACACAAACTTGGTAATGGTATTTCAGATACAAAACCCCGATCGAAAAATCGGCTGTGGCTGCTGGAGCATGGGCTTTCATTTAAACGTACAACAAGCTGCATAGTGAAAAGGAGAGCTGAAAGAATCAGCTCAATTTATCAACAATATTTTTTTAAAGAGACACTGAGTACTGACCTCCTTTGAACACAACCTTCTGATCTGGAGTCAGACGCGCTGCCGTTGCACCACAAGGTCTGGAATCTGAAGCTGCAATGGCGCTTTAGACAAATGCAATGAAGGTCATCAATACAGCAAGTTTCAACCCTGAGCCAATGTGTTCTTTGTTTTAATCAAGTGGTGGTGGAGAGCACTGTCAGTGTGTAGACAGAGACCTCTGCCATCAATTCATCCATGTTCCAACAGATACCTGTTTGACCTTGACGTGATTTGAACACGCAACCTTCTGATCTGGAGTCAGACGCGCTACCGTTGCGCCACAAGGTCTGTGGCCTTTGAAATAATGACCCTTTAAAGGAATGACATACCAATGTAATGTCTATCAGTGAGTCAGGATTCAAGGCTGAGCCACGATACTGCAGTTTGTTTTGGTTCACCAACGGAAACGCAGCACATCAACCATATACACTGATGTGAATCTATATCCCATATGACATCATGTTTGTAACTTTATATATTTTCCTTCAACTTTGTTTTCCTGTTTACCTTTTAATGGCTTTGATTTTAAACTCCTCACTTCCATTGATCCATTTCCCATTTTGCCCTTGAAAGCATTGGCAATTACAAAGTCTCTTAGATTCTCAAGCTTCTGTCACGGAGTCAGATGCACTGCCTTTGTATCACAAGGTCAGAAGCAAATTGCTGTAGTAGGACTTAAGTTGGAGGCCACACAAGTACAAAATCGATCACTGCAGAAGGACTCAAGTCTAAGCCCAGATACCAGAGTTCATTTGTGTCCGTCAGGGTAAACCAATTAAGTCTTATTAAGCTTGCAGGACAGCTTCAGTGATTGTACAAGTCTCTAAAAAGACATTGGAGGGATGAAATAACATTTCTCCACAAGATATTCCTTACTTTGGTGTTTTGATGAAGAGTATTGTAGCATTCAGTCGCCCCCTTGTACCCTGTGGCTTGGAGCAGTGCCATCCTGAAAGATATCACCTGTCAAGATGGAATAGTTTGATCATAGAACAAAGGCTATATAGTTGGGAAGCTGATTTGTATGCTTACGACATGCTTCTTTCCTCTACCAGAGGGTTCATAACTGGGACACAGAAGGCAGGAGTATCAGCCAAAGTCTTTCAATAGTAACTGCAACTGTCTATGACATGTTACACCAAAATGTCCCAAAGGTGTTCAATTTAGCTGAGATCTGGCAACTGCAGAGGCCATGACACCTGACTTCTGTATTCAGCCCATAGTAACACCTTGTGCTTCGTCGCTGCCATTTTAAAAATCACTACATAACATGGAGGTCCATGAAGAGCTATAAGGGTCATTTAGAGATGTTTTGAGCCAAAATCCATTAGTCAGCTGGGTCAACTTGGCCAGTGAAGCAGTTTCTCAGCATGAAGTGATAATGGGGGCATGTGTGTTGTGGCAACTTTACCAGTTCAAATAGAAAGAAATCAGCTCTCCTGTATAAACTCAGTCTAACCATGTGGTCTGACCTGATGAAACCTGAACACAACCTTTAGAGACCACCATGAAAGAAACCCCCCCCCCCCCCCCCCCCCCCCCCCAACACAAACCACTACCTGTGTGGTTTGGCAACAGTCAACTAAAGGCCTAAGCCCAAGACAATCATGGCCCAAGGTTCTCTTCATGCATTTCATGTTTTGAGTTCCACTGGAAGAGAAAACACTGGTAGTCTAAATGTCAACTAGATGTTGAACTGTTCCACTACAGGGGACAGGTCAAGCAGCAGAGCGTGAAGCTTGTTTGACCAGAGCTGCATGCAATTTTTCAACCACAGAGTGAGGTCTGCATCAATGACCTCTAGACCAGCATTTGCTAGTGAAATGAATGCCAATAAGACAGCTGCATGTCCAAGCCAATGTCAGGCCAGTATTCAAAACTGATCCCCAACACTGATCATTTTCCATGCTACAAGGTCACTTAAGGCTTTTTGACCATCTTGACAATTAGCTTAGTAAAACTTGCTGCCCCCGGAAGGGGTTCTTTACAGTTCAAGGAGCAAACATGAAGCCAGAGTACTTTAAGATTTGTTTTTTTATTGGTTCAGAAACTTGTTCAGGCTGGAGGGATCCACCACTTAGTAGCCAACCTTAAAGACAGGAAGAGGTCAACATTAGGACAAGTTACAATACACCTACATATTTGTGCCAAATTATGCCAGCTTACCTTGACTCTGTTATAGCCTCCTGCTTGGCTGCGAGTTGGCTGTATGAAGCGGCCATAGGAAGAACCAGGTTGACCAGCTGCAGTGCCACCCTGTCCATAACCAGTCTTCACAGGAGGCTGTGGCTCTTGAAAGCTCTGAGGGGCTGCCAAGTCACCAGTGAAGGGCTCGCTCTGCTGGATGGGTCCAGAGTTCTGGGGAACATAGTCTCTCACATAGTGAACATCTTGCCAGTGGTCCATCCCCTGTTCAAAGCTGCTGCTGGCATGAGTGACTGTGCCTGGAGGATACTGGCCAGTCAGGAACATGTAGTCATAGTAAGGATAGACACCCAAGCTTCCACCAAATCCACCCAGTCCAGACTCTGGCTGAGGTTGGCTGGTGACGCTTCCTCCTTCCGATGTGTGTGGAGAAAATGGAGGGGGTGGCGGTGGTGGTGGCAGGAAGCCTTGCTCCTCTGTCTCCCTCTGGAAGTCACCACTCTCATAGCTTTCCTCAAACTGGGCCAACTCCCCTGCCTGGTACACTGGTCCAGGTGGTGGAAGAGGTGGACTCACATACTCTGCGCTACTGGAGCCAACACTACGAGTGCCAGCTGGCATTTCCTCACCACCAAAGACACTTGGAGGTGCAACAGCCCACTTGATGTCTGAGTAGAGAAAAAAAACAGAACTTCGAGACTCAAGAATTGTCTAACTTAACAATTAGGACCATTGCTGGCTGCACAGACTCAGTTGCCTACAAGTACTGCAAAAAATTGTACTTAATACAGTAGTTCTTTTCCACCACTGTCCAGAATATTTAACATGATTTATTACCTCGAGAGCCAGGTTGAAAAGCAGCACCTGGTGGTGAAGCGCCAACAGGATGTTTCCTCATTGCACTGCCACTGTAGCCTGACTCAACAGGTCTGGAAAAGTAACTGGAGCCACCTGGTGCTGCTGGCTCTCTAACTGCAGGCTGAGGGAAACTGGGCCTCGGCTGTGGCACAGGCTGATAAGTTGGTGTGGAGACACCTTTAGAGGGAGCACTGTTTGGCATAACTCCAGGTGAAAAGTCGCTGGAAGGTGGTCCATAGTTGGATCCAAAACTAGGAGCAGCATTTGAGTAACTACTGCCACGGGAATCATGGGGATTAAAGCCTGGGCACAAAAGAGGTTAGTCAGAGGTGAAATCAACTCAATCATATACTGTTTTAATAGCACAGGCATAAAACTTACCTCCCTTAACAGGAACACAGCATATGTCCACAATCAGCAAAGCAAAGAGGGAAGCCCTGAAACAATTTAAAACAAGACTATATGTTATCAACAAGTTTCCTAACAACCAAATAAACAGCCACTCAAAGAGCCGCAGCTACTTACCCCAAGAAGAACTGTGGAGACATCATATTGAAAGCCAGCACTGATGAAACAGTGACCCATGACAGCTTATAAATGTTGCCTAATCAGTCAGAGCTTAATGAGCTAACCATGAACAGCTGCTGGTCAGTGACTCCCAGTAAAGGTGGATCAAACCTCAGCACTTAGTCTAAACGAGCGTCAGGTGCAAAAAGTTGGTGGCTTCCCTTCTCTTAAAATTGTAGTCCTTTGGATTTTTACCAGATGTTCTGAACCATGTGACTCTTTTGGCACAGCTCTGACTTTTACTGTTTGGCAATTTATGTAACATTATTAAGTTATGAAGAAATATTTAGTTGAAATCATGAACTGAGGAAAATTCCCTGAAGAAACTATGCTCTTGTGGGAAATCAAGATGTGCACTTCATATCCTTTCACAGAGGTCTTAAATTGTGCTCTAACACACAAGTTGAGTTAGTGAGAACTTTGTGAATTGTTCTGCATGGTGACAAATGCCATTAGGCTTCCTGAAATTAATTTTTCCTGGTTTCCCAATTAGAAAACATCAGTCATCTGCACATTAACATTTATAGTCTTCATCTGGAGGCCTCACCAGTGTATTACCTTGCGAAACTTTCGTCACATTATTACATGGTTATTTTTATCTGGAAACAGGTCTGAAATGACTGGAAATCATGACTGGTACTAATAAGAAACACTGTAAAGCAGTGGTGGAAGAATTATTTACATCCTTTCCTTAAGTAAAAGTAGCAGTACTAAAATACAGTACTAATACATCAGCAGTGAATCATCAATAAATGCCACTACCACCATGTTTGACAGATGAGGTGGTGACTTTGGATCATGAACTCCTCTGTTTTTCTCCACACTTTCCTTTCTTCATCATGTCGATAGAGGTTGATTTTTTTTTTCATCAGTCCATAGTTTTTTGTGTGTATGTGCTTTTGTGAACTGCTGCCATTACATTTCATTATCAATCTTGTTTATATTTTGGAGCAGCAACAACTTTCACTTTCACAAGACAATACAATTTTATTAGACGGTCACACGGTGGCGCAAACATACAAAAAAGTGGAGCCTTCTACTCAAATATTCTCATGTTTTTGTCTGCGGCCTAAATTGCACATTTTCCGATGTCTTCATATTTACCAGTAACACTACATTGCTCATCAGATTTCGAGAATGGTGAAGTAACACAGCTGTAGCAGACTTATAAACTAATAAAATCCAGTTTAACAGCACAGACTCACAGGCGTAGCTAATGTTTCCATTAGCAATTACCATTTTTGGGAATAAATCACTATGAGAGACCAGAGGCAGGAGCAGCATTACGGGAAGAAGCAGTGTGTGTGTGTGTGTGTGTGTGTGTGTGTGTGTGTGTGTGTGTGTGTGTGTGTGTGTGTGTGTGTGTGTGTGTGTGTGAGTGAGAGAGAGAGAGAGATGAAAAAACAGAAGTCACTGTACAGCATGTCGATCCTCCCCGCTTCTTAAAGGACGAACAATATGTGGATGGTATGGACAATGAGGTCGCAGTAGGAGGGCATAGCTTCACGTAAGTTGGCTATACAGTACATCCTCCCACGATAAGACACCAGACAGCTATTGTGTGAAAAAAGAAAAGATCAGAAGCTGTGGATCTGTGTGATCCCATGCATAACATGATTCTTACTTACGGTTTAAATCTAACGATTGTTAATGTGGGTTAGTGTTCAGTGTGGGGGTAGAAAATCAGACCACAACGCTGTGCAGACCATGTGGTACTGTCACTACACTATTTTATTATGTGCTGTATGAGGTCAGAAAGTTTTTTTCTCTGCCTCAAACCATACATGAGGATATTTCTGGTGAAATCATTTGTAGAAGCTTTATAGACTCTTCAAAACAGCGGTTCACATCCCCACATGTTTGTACAAAAGGTGTTATATAAATAAAGTTGAGCTGAGGTGGTTGTTTGGATCTCACACTGGTTCACTTGATGTGCACATGGAGTCACAGATCGATATATTATTCCTTTGTATTTTACATTTTGATATATACATTTTAAATATATTAGAACTGCTTTATCTTTCTGAAGCGTCCTAAGACTGTGAGACTATGTGTAAAATGGTTTTGTGTCCTACAGTTCATCCAGTACTGATGGGAACACCCTGAAACATTGACTTTATTTGAGGGAAACAACAGAAACGCTGAAAATCAGCACAGCCGAATGAACTGAGTACAGAGTCAAAACAACATAAGATGTGTCACTGCCCTAAATACGCTACGCATGGTAGACACACTTTGTGTAAGTATGATCAATGAGCAGATTCTCATTAACAGAGGTTTAGTATTTTTGTTGGGTTGAAATTTGCTGCTCTTGAACTTGTAAACATTAACCAGGTGTGTGTTTAACCCTGTCAGAAGACAGACAGACTTGATTTCTTCATGCCCTGCTAGTGGAGTTCAGTCTCATACAGGTCACTGGAGTTCAGTACATGTTGCATTACACATTATACACATTAGTTCAAACTTAGTTTAAATAAAAACATTATTTGTCCATGAGGGAGAAACAAAATAGACAAAAAATCTGACCAGACACCAACACCATTACATACAAACCAACACCATCTCACACCAACGCTGCAACATTTTAGGTCATCAGATGATCTTATATGTCATGTGGCATGTCATCTTAAACTCTCTCTTTATCCTCATCATTTTTGGAAAGAAGAAGTAGTGAGTTTGATGTAGAAACAGTCCCGTGGTTCATCTCTGTATTAGAAAGATAATGACATCTGACCATGAGCTGTCCAAGAAGTTGCTGATACCGGCACTTTTCCTTTTGGCACGACTGCAGAGTGTGTTTTATGGTTATGCAAGCACAGAGATACACACATTTTTGTACTTTTATACTCATACTCGTGATAACTTAATGCTTTCCATAGCCCCTTACTCTATACATAACCCTTACAGTCTTGTGGGTAACCCGTACCTGGTACCCTAATTGCAAATCCAAGGCTGGATCAGTAACAGTGCAAAGTGATGAACTTCCTGGATCCTCAGGTCCCCAGTGGACCCCAAAAGCTCCACCATAACTGTGTGACAACTGGTGTGAAGTAATATGATCAACTGTACCCTTGTTTGGGACATGCACCATGAAATCACAATTTACTTGTTCTTGAGTCCCTGTTTGAAGCACATTCTTGTGTCATAGTCTAGTTTTAAGACCTTCATATGTCACTTGATAAGGTGCTTTAGTCGTCCAAATTTCCAGATTTCAAGCAACAGAGAAATACTGTACACGCTGCACAAAGAGGGGGACTGTGGGTTAACAGAAGACCAGCAGTTCATTGTTGCCCCATGACACTCCAACAGTTGATGGTAGTATCATTATGTTGGGTGTTGATCCACATACCTCCATTACTCATTTGTCATGCCTTATTATTTGTTTGACTGTAAAAGTTGGTTGTTATGAAAGACATAATAAAATGGTATGTACCCAGTGCAACAGTACAGATGGTATGTGTTTTCAGAAACAATAGAAGGTACAGAGCAATATGTTTTATTGTTTTATTGTTGTATCGTTTTATTTACTGTGGCTCCTAAAATGTGCTATAAGGATGAATTGATGTTTGTGTTGTTTTTGATTTCTTTGCATGGGGTTTATTGATAATAGTACAGCAACAAATGCCAGCATTATCCTTTAGACTATAGTGGGTGATCAGAGGGAAGTCATGTGGCTCAAGACCTTCTCTGATCCTCTTTGCAGTTAGTATCGTGTGTGTATCTATGCATACATACACACATCAGCTATTGTTTTTAGGAAGTGCGAACAAGCTTGTATGCGTGCCTGTGCCTCATGATGAGGTGATGATAGTGGTTAGCCATATATATTTATATGTCTTGTTAGTGGTGTTATAGTTGTAGTTGCATACCAATGACCAAATTTTTTAATGTTGCATCCATGTTCCATGGTCAGGCTGGTGTTTCATGCAAAATAATTTACATGAAACATCATATTAAATCACCTTTTTGTAGTGATGCCATTGTCCATTCATCAGTTAGTCAGATAAATTAATGGAATGAAAATACACTTAAAACATGAATTTTATCATCCAACAAAATAATAATCAATAATAGTCACTGCAGTTTTAGTGTACTCTACCATGCTGGTCTTTCATGATATGATCATGCTTATGGCAGACCTGGATAATAAAGGAACTGGAAGTGTGGACTTTACCTGCTCTTTAAGCACACAGACATAGTAACATGCATCTCTCCCTGAAAAGAAAAAGATTAAGAGCCTGGAAAACCTACTGTAAAAGAAAAATGCCTTAAGCATAACAAGAGGTGTAAAAGTTATGCCCTCTATGCTTCTAGTCTCTACAATGTGCATTGCGCAACGCTGTTGGGGTCCAGGCGAAAAAGGTTTGTTGCGATCAACCAGTTGTTCCTTTGGGCCTGTAGCATCATGGGAAATCATTAGTCACAGCAGTATACTTTCATACAGCTGTCAAGGAGTGATAAGGCCTATCAAGGATGCTAATATGGACTGAGTTATGACACAGAGGGCCAGTTCCTACATGGCACTCACCAAGTTGTTTTCTTGTGCGAGTCACATGACCCTGTGGTTAAACCTGCCGGCTATCTTATCCAGAGTACGTCTCATAGCTTCACTGCTGTGTAGGATGCTGGGAATGCAGGAGTGTCTATTTTCTATTGCTACCAGCACCCAGAGCAGAGGGATTTTATCTGCTGCACAGCAGAGAGTAATTGAGAAATGTGAAAAATACTGGGGAGGGAGTAGGAGGAGGGAAATTGCGAGGAATAGGAAGGAAGCGCTGGCCTATAAAAAGAGAGAGGGCAAGAGCAAAGAGGTGTGGTTTGTAAGATAACATCTCTTTCCTACTCTCTGTGAGCACTAGGGAGTAGTAAGCTGGAGAATACCAACATTACAGCTGCACATTTTTGTTTTTGCAGGAGATTTCCTCTTTGTGACTTCACAAGAAGGTTATTTTGTGAAAAATTCATATTTGCATATTGTAATTGTTCGTTCTGTTGTTAAAATGGGAA